GTTGAACTTTTTGTCGCAACTCTAGCTTGGCACTATCTTTAATAAACGCATGTTCCACGGCATTCAAAGTTATTTGCAACAAGTCATCGTCATTTAATTTGAAATTCTTCTTTGCCAGCTCATATTCTTTTGACAAAGTAGTATCAAACACACCACAGTCGTCGGTGCATATAACTACAGGTGCTATCTTATTTTGGAAAATGCGCCTAAAATGGTGGTCGTCATAATTTCCCACTGTGCCGCACTTGACATTACTTGTCAAACAGCATTCAATAACAGTGTTTTTTCTTCCTAGCTCACGCAATTGAAATTCACTCAGGAACGTGCCATGTCCACACCGATCCATTCCAAATTTGATCATTTTCTCAATTTCCAAAGGATTATCAATCTCTGCACAATGCAGTGCCAACTTTAAATTGTTCTTTCGAGCTTTCTCCAGAACAGGTATGAATTGCTCGAATTCACCAATATTAGGGTTGCCGCTAACATCGATACCAGTAATAATGTCTTCATATTTATTCCGTAGTTGTAATATAACATTAATTGTGTCCTCCGCTTCAGCAAAATCTTTACTTCTATCGATAGATGGTATAAGATTTACACGAATGTTTTCAGTTTTATTGGAACGATCTATAGCACTCAGTACGCATTCCATATACTCTTGCTTGGACATTACAGAATTTCGTTTGGGTGTTGTTCGTAGTTCTAAATATATAACGTTATCTTTGGAAAAATCTCGAATAGCTAGTTTAGTGGCTAATTGTAGACCCTTCTGTGTTGACGTCAATTCGTGCATAAAATGGAATTTCTTAAAACATCCATCTAGATCAACGTTTTCAAAGTTGATGAATTGTTCACTGAGTCTTAAGAATTCTATAGTATTACCACCATAAAGCAGCTCACCCAATTCCTTTATGGATTTTGTACTTAATGAGCCGTTGAGGTGGGCGTGCAACTCAATTTTTGGCATATTTCTTACGAAATTAGAGGCATCCATTAAGAGTTTGTTTAGTTACAGTCCAAAATAGTTGACGCTTAGTTGGATTCTTTAGTTAGAAAACATTTTCGCATGGGCGTATTATATCGGTATGTAGGTTGAAGGTTTCTATCTTCCAGTTGGTGCATGCATGACGGCCGACTGTTTTACCTACACAAAAATGAAGTATGATTGCAAGACCAATAAAAACCTTTTTAATTAACTCTCTACCTGGTAAATTTATTTCCATAAGTCCTATATAATGCCCAAGGCGCATCCATACATATATTGATGCGCCTTGTATGATGCCTTCTCAAATTTACAGGTGAATTATTTGGTCAATTACCATTCGCGTATGCCGCCGGTCCGTTTGTTTTGCTTTAACAGCTGATTTTGATACTTTATCGAAAATAGTAATGACAGTACAATTTGGTTATTATCGGTCTTTTATTGACAACAGCGCCATCTTACGTTGTCGTGTGTAGTTAATAACGATGGGTTCTTTCCCGTACGCGAAAAAATTGCACAAGAAAATTGTAAATGCTAAAAAATATATTCAAAGCGGCGAATACACCAGCAGCATTGCTATAACAATGTTTGGAACAATAGTTGTGTTCAATGAAACCGAAAAAAGTCCAGAGCAGCTCAAATTACTGTTTGTAACTTAAGTATAAATCAAAAAATGTTCCTCGTGTATTCCGCGCTTAACGAACGTTAGCATCTAAGTTTTATTATGCTCGATTCTAAGTACGTTGTATTACATATTTTATGGAGTATTTTTTGTTACCAGTTCGTGAGGTGGTAAAAAACTTTACGGGTTGCAATAGCGCACAGAATGCGAAAAGGGGTTCAAAATTTATAGGCAGTTTGTTTACCGGTTCAAAGGTGTATGTCACCAGCGTAGAATAGACCTGTGAGCCGCTACAACAACAACAACAAGACCTGTGAAGCGTCATTCCCTCGACAGTCGGGTCTATGTAACCGGAACGACCGACATTTATATCTGCACAAGGACTGCCACTCCAGCCACACGCCCAAGAACTATTTGGGGAATTCGTATGCTGTTACAACAACAACAAAAGACCTGTGAAGCGTCTTATATCTTTATATCTGCACAAGGACTGCCACTCCAGCCACACGCCCAAGAACTATTTGGGGAATTCGTATGCTGTTACAACAACAACAAAAGACCTGTGAAGCGTCTCGTTCCCACGACAGTCGGGTCTACGTAACCGGAACGACCCAGATTTATATCTGGCCAAGGACTGTCACTCCAGCAACACTCCCCAAATAGTCTTTGGGGAGTTTGTATGCTGTTACAACAACAACAAAAGACCTGTGAAGCGTCTGCCATGTAAACGGGCTCTAATTATTGTGCTCTTATTGACATCAGCGCCATCTTACGTTATCTCGCCTAGAAAACGACATCGTCTGTTTTGTACTGTAGTACAGTTTGCGTGAAAATCCTCAAAATAATACGGAATTGCAAAAATTTTTGCTCGAGAATTTTTGAATTTTTGTGTAAATTAGTATGGTAGGTTTGTGTCGGTTATGTGCCGCTGTGCGTAAAACGGATATGCTAATTCCCATGAGCGTAGATGTTTGCCAAAAACTAAGACAGTGCTTTGCAATGGAAATGTGCCAACCTGAGGATAAATTGCCAAGACGTGCCTGTGCAAACTGCATTGAAGCATTACAAAATTCCTTCACTTTTTTCAAGAAATTACAGGAAGCACAGGAAACGTTGGCGTTATTATTCGACGAATCCAATAAAGAATCTAGTGAAAATATTGGCGAAATATGTTTAAGAATAAATACTAATAATAAGTTGGAAAAGGAGGGGAATACGAAGTGCGAGACTGCGGTGTTGAGCGCAGATTTAAAAGATGTTGCAGTGGGAAACAATACAAACGGCGATAGATTACCAATATTACTCCCGACACAATTCAATGTGGATATTGGGCAAGAGAATGCGGACTTCGATGTGGTTGAAGTGTATCCGGCTATGGATACAGAAGCTGATTTTAAAGCTGAGAGTATAGTAGAGGAAAGTGATTGCAAAGGCGGGAAAAGTCCTGATCAACTTTCCGAAAGTAGTATGAAAATTGAAACTTGGTTCCTGGAGGAAGAGGAAGAAGACTTTGAAAAGCAAGGGAACGATGACGAAAACCAAATAGAGCAGAACGAAAGTAACACCCTGGATAATTTTAAGCCTACGGTAATTGAAATTTTACATACATCATACGAAGGCAACGGTAACGCGCAGGTTTGTACATATCTAAAAATCTAGTATAGCTACCAAAGAAAATAAACCATAATTTGTAAAAAAGTAATTTTTAAGCAAAAATTATTAAAAACGGTTGACGTGGTCCAAAGTTGTCCCGTAACATTTGAATTTATCATGATCATGGAATTTATAACTGCCCTCCTTTTTATACATTTTATATCATTGCAAGTATTAATAATTTCTCTATGTATTTTTTTAATTTAGCAACTTCCAGCAAAGACCACCGATGAAAATCACATGCTTGAATGGGGAACTTATAATTGGATTTGCTATTCTTGTCCAGAGATCTGTGATACATTTTCTGCATTGCTGTTGCATTGCAAGGAGAAACACGACGTCGTTGACGCCAATAATATGCAATTTAAATGTGCTGATTGTCAGAAAATATGCACCCATTATAATAAGTTCGTTAACCATGTACGTTTCCGACATCATCCAGAATTAATTTTACGATGCGACGCATGCGATGTTCAGAAAGATAATTGCACAGAATTGGCGGTGCATAGAGCTATGTCTTGTATGGCAGCGCAGTCATATCCTTCAATAAATTTATGCAGCATATGTGGAAAGAGTTTCCTCAGTCTGAATGCAACTTTGGTACATGCGCGTCATCAACACAGCGATGGGATTGGCGATGAAATCAGATGGTATCAGTGTGCTCAATGTGAGAAGAAGTTCAAACGGATTACTAATCTGCGGGCGCATGAAAATATTCATTTGGGTATTATTCCTTATACATATATAGTAGACTCCCCCTCATACATATATAGGGACTACAAAATTTATTTTATTTTAAGATGCCCACCAAAACATTAAGATTTAAGTGTGCTGGACCGAATTGAAAATACCTCCAAAAATCGGGGTTTTTATGAATAAAAATAGTTTCCTAAAGAACTTTGTGAAAAAAGTCCACTCAGATGAAAAAACAGATTAAGCTTAAAAAATCTGCATAAAAATATTTAAAAATCTTTTCAACGGAATCGTAAGGATGAGATTTTTGGTGCTGTTTTTTTTACTTTTTTCAAAGATTGATTTACGAAAAACTTGAATAACTAGGCCGAAGCTATTCTGATTTAGACTTATGGGATCTCAGTAGAAAGGTTTTTCACACTGTTTTTATTTCTGTAAAAAAGTCATTCGTGTCCCTTTTTTTTCAAATACCAACAAATCTTAATTCAACTTTGAATGACGTTCGTTCATCCTACCTTTCTCTTTCATCCTTTGAATGAGTTGATTAGCAAAGAAATAAAAAGGGTGAGAAAATACCTTTCCAATGACACCTCTTAAGTCTAAATCGGAAGAGTTTAGGTTCAGTTATTCTAGTTTTTCCTATACCAATCTTTGAAACAAGTTAAAAAACAGAATCAAAAATCTGATCATTACGATTCCGTTCAATTGTGTTTTTAATTTTTTAAAAATATTTTTATGCAAATTTGTTAAGCTTAAACCGTTTTGCAATTTGAGGGGATTAAAAAAAAATATTTTTATTCATAAAAAACTCCATTTTTAGAGGTATTTTCAAGTCGGTCCAACTCACGTAAATCTTATATTTTTCCGAAATATTTTGGTGGACGTCGTAAAATATAATAGATTTTATAATTCCAATGGAAAATGTATGGGGAGCGATGCAGTCTAATATATAGTATATGTATTTATATTATGAGCGTTATTTTGATGACATCTGTGTTTACATATTATCACATTTGCAGGTCTGAAAGAATTCGCTTGTGAAGTATGCGATCGAAAATTTCATCAGAAATACAATTTGGAAGCTCATATGCAACTACATATGAACGAAAGAGCGTACGAATGTAAAATTTGCAAGAAAAGGTAATACAAATGATCAAACAACTGTATCTACTTTAAAATAAACATATTTATTTTATTTATTCCTTTTTAGTTTAAAAACCTCTGCAAGTTTGGAGAAACATCAGCTAATACACACAGATATTAAGAATTTTAACTGTGATTATTGCAGTAAAGAGTTTCGCACGAAAGATGAAAAACTTTCACATCAGCGTATACACACTGGCGAAAAACCATATAAATGTCAGCATTGTGATCGATGCTTTCGATTTCGCAGTGTCTTAATGGTTCGTACAAAAGCTATTCGAATCTATATTATCTATATATATTATATTTTAAATGGTTATTGCTTAACTTTTAGGGTCATATTAGTGTGCACACTGGCGAGCGTCCATATTCATGTGAGGATTGCGGTCGTAAATTTTCTAATTGGGGGAACATGAACAAACATATGAAGCGTTGTAAAAAGCGCAAAGAAAGTAGTTAAGCTTAGTATACTGCTTAGGCTGGAATAAGAAATTGTATAACATGATCTAATAGCTCTATTATGTATGGCAACTGGAGTCTAGTTACTGGTCTACTAGCCGTGGCAACCAGTATCGTACTTTGTATTATGTATATCGATTAATATCAGTCTACAGAAAAATGCAGACAACATCTGAATTTACTTTTTTAAAATGTACATTTCGAAGTAATTGGCAACTTTGCTCCAATGTGTTTAACAATCTATAGTGGTATTCACAAAAGCGAGCAAGTGGCCTGGCAGTTGACAGTTGACAACAGTCGTTGTTTGAGCTGATCTGCTCTTTTGCCAGAGTGCCAGGCCACTTGCTCGCTTTAGTGAATACCACTATAAACTCAGACGCCAGAGTATACTTCATAAGATGTTGATAAATTGCAAATCACGAAAAAAGTGAAATATTATTTAATTTCGTTCAGTTGAATTCTTTAAAATCATCCACTTTTTTAAGCCTTCCTTTCTAGGCGCACAAAACTGTGGGAAAGGATATGAATTTTTGAAAAAATAATAGAGTTGGCATGCCTGGTGAGCAGACAGCGTTCGAAAAATGTGCAGGCGGTTATTTGCGAGCTCTGATAAATATACATCAGGCATGCCCAGAGCAGGGTACTTGCTTATGGAACTCTGCCAGCGTTGGACATCCCAGCGGGCAACTCCTCGCGGAAGAGCCCTCGACACGGCACGTCAGGAGGCATCTTTACGAACTGACAGACGAAGTCCAGAGGTATATTAAACAACCTCTGGACCCGTCAACCTACCGACAGGCCCTGAACGGCACTCACAGGGAATCAGTCTCAAGTTATGTAGACTCCCGCCCTGTGAATGCCGTTCTAGGCACACAACCACCGGACGTGGACGGGACAGAACTTTGTTTGCCTCGGGAGACCCGCACTACAATAGCCCAACTTCGCTCTGGCTACTGCAGCTAGGCTCAACAGAATCAACGAGGATGTGCCCACGACAGCCGGTTCTACGTACCGGAATGACTCGGGTTTCACCCGACCAAGGGCTGTTGTTTCGGCGATCTAACCCCGTTTAGGTCGGCGAAGTGTCTCAGAAGTTGTCCGTCCATAGGGCAACATTCACTACGCATTCTCCTACTCAGGGCTGGCATCGAGTCAAACCCTGGGCCAGAAATATACACCTGCTGTGTATGCCGAAGACAATTACACCACAACTCCACCTCAGTCAAGTGTAATGCCTGCGAGGGGTGGAGTCACCTCAGGGTCTGCTCGGGACTACGGACACACAGACAGTGGACCACGTCTTACGTGGCCCCCTGTTGCTCAAACAGAGCAGCCTCCACGGCAAACGATAGTCCGCCCGTGCAGTCCCACACACTCACACAGCAACCACACACAGTCGCTACTACACAACAACATAATAACACCACAGACCGTACCATAGCCACCACAGACCACATAACACACACAACTGCACCACCACCCACACGCCGCCGCCAACAACTCCTGGTTCCCCCTACAATCTGCACGGTATGTCAGACCAGAATATTCCGTAATGTGACATCAGTCAAGTGCAACACCTGCCTTGGCTGGTGCCACTTTAGGGCATGTTCAGGTCTGCGTACCACGCGAGATTGGACGGGGAATTTCGAGGGCCCGTGTTGCGCTGCTCGGTCGCAGACGTCAATTGCGACGCCCCCCACCACCACCACAGGGCGGCAACCACCTCAGCAGCACACACAGCCAACGGCGGCAAGAACATACACCTCACTCACACCCCACATCACGACACGTCTCCCGAACTACATGAAGCTCCTCCAATTCAACTGTAACGGGCTACAGCGCAAGATTGAGGAGATAACCGTCTTCATGTGTCGGCATGGTATATTAATAGCTGCGGTCCTAGAGACGAAGCTGCACAGCAATTCAACTTTGTTGAATTGCGCCGGGTACAACGTGCACCGTCGAGATCGCGAGCGAGATAATGGTGGTGGCTTAGCGTTCATCACGCACCACACCGTGCAGTATCGTCTTATCGAAGCAGACATCGACCGCAGGGATACCACCCTAGAATGTCAGGGCATCGCTATCCGGTCAGGCGATGTCGAGCTCGAAATATTTAACATTTACATACCCCCTGTCACCTGCTGCCCGGCAGGATACCACCCTGATATAGGTGCGCTCCTCAGAGGTGAAAACCGTATGGTAGTAGGTGACTTTAATGCGCACCACGATCTTTGGCACTCAAGCCTGTCAAACGATCGTAGGGGAACAGACTTGGCTGAGCAGATAGACGATTCGACATCTGCACAATGAACGAAGACGCACCCACCAGGATTATGGGTAACTGCAGTAGCTCGCCAGACATCACAATAGTCAGCGCTGGTCTGATAAACAGCATAACGTGGCGACCTATTTTGACTCTAGCATCAGACCATTTACCCATAGTCATCTCGATTGATAAACCAACCGACTTTGCCTCCGCCAAACACCGGACCTATATCAACTTTTCCAAAGCTGATTGGAAAGGTTACGCGGAGTTTACTGAAAACACCTTCGCAGCGCTCCCCACACCAACCGACGTCCATCTCGGTGAACGTAAGTTCCGCAGGGCTATCACTGCTGCTGCAGCTCGCTTCATTCCGGCAGGATGTATATCGGACCCACGTCCAAACTTCCCTGCCGAAGCGGCTGTTCTAGCTGATGAGCGTGATAGCCTTCGTCAGGCCGATCCCGGAGATCCCCGTATCAGGGATTTCAACGCGGAGATTCGGCAACTTGTAAACGTACATAAGCGGAAGAAGTGGGAGGAGCACCTGAAGACTTGTAATTTCACCTCTGGTGTGAGCAAGCTTTGGTCAACCGTGAGGTCACTGTCTAATCCGACGAAGCACGACGACAGAGTCGAAATTTCCTTCGGCGACCATGCTTCGTCGGACCCGGAGCGATGCACGAGCTATTTTAGCCGGCAGTTCATACTGCATCCTCCGGTAGACAAAGGCAAGCGTCGAGTGACCAGAAGGCTGCACAAACTGCCAACAAATTGTGCCCCTTTTGCTTTCACTTGCGGTGAAGTTCAGGTGGCCATCGGGAAGACGAAAGCCTCCAAAGCCATGGGTCCCGACGGAATATGCATGCTGATGCTGAAAAATTTGGGTCCTGCGGGGGTAGCGCACCTAACGGAGGTCCTCAACCTGTCAATGGCCACTCTCATCATCCCAGACATCTGGAAGGTGGGGAGAGTGGTCCCACTGCTCAAACCGGGGAAACCCGCCAACAAAGGAGATTCGTATCGTCCGATTACACTCCTTTCCCCGGTAGCGAAGACACTCGAGGCCTTGCTACTCCCGTACTTCACAAACCACCTGACCCCAGCGAAGCATCAGCATGGTTTCCGTAAAGTGCACAGTACAACAACAGCACTTAACGCCATAACCACTCAGATAACTCGTGGCCTTAACCGCAACCGTCCCTGTGAGAGAACGATTCTAGTAGCGTTGGACTTGTCAAAGGCGTTTGACACCGTCTGCCATTCCACGCTGCTAGAAGATATAGAGGCCTCCTCTCTCCCACAGAGGCTCAAACGGTGGTCGGCAAATTATCTGAGTGGTCGACATTCGTCGGTAACATTTAGAGACAAAACGAGTAAGCAGCGAAAAATAAAACAGGGGGTTCCTCAGGGTGGTGTCCTTTCCCCGCTACTGTTTAACTTTTATATTTCAAAGCTCCCTCAACCACCAGAGGGAGTCTCGATTGTCTCCTATGCCGATGACTGCTCGATCATGGCGACTGGAAATGGAATTGATGACCTGTGTTTGAAAGTAAACGGCTATCTCTCCGAACTTTCTCGCTTCTTCACTGCAAAGTGTCTAGCCCTCTCCCCTACGAAATCCTCCGCGACCCTGTTCACAACCTGGACGAAGGAGGTCAGGCTACCGCTGGGGATTCACGTCGATGACTCACCAATTCCGACGGTGAATAACCCCAAAATACTCGGAGTAACATTCGACAGCCTGCTCTCCTTCTCTGCGCACTCAACCGCTATTGTCAATAAAGTACAGAGCCGCAACAAGGTCCTCAAGTCGCTAGCCGGCAGTACTTGGGGCAAAGACAAAGAAACGTTGCTGGCAACATACAAGGCAATAGGCCGGCCGGTTTTGAACTACGCAGCGCCAGTGTGGTCGCCAGGGACTAGTAGGACGCAGTGGACGAAGCTACAGACGGTACAAAATACGGCACTTAGGACAGCGACGGGATGCCTCCTGATGTCGCCAGAACACCACTTGCACGGCGAGGCGCAAATGCTCCCAGTTAAGGAGCACAACATAATGCTCTGCAAGCAGTTCCTGATCGGGAGCCACAGAAGTGGCCACCCAAACAGACAGCTGCTTGCAGAGGAGCCCTCGCCTAAGCACGTCAGGAGGCATCTATATGAACTGACGGACGAAGTCCAGAGGTTCATTTAGCAACCTCTGGACCCGACAGCGTACAGACAGGCCCTGAACGGCATTCACAGGGACTCAGTCTCGAGTTATGTAGACTCTAGACCTGTGAATGCCGTTCTAGGCATACCACCCCCGGACATTGACGAGACAGAGCTTCATCTGCCTCGGGAGACACGCACTACACTCGCTCAACTTCGCTCCGGCTACTGCAGCAGGTTAAACTCCTACTTGAGTAGGCTGAATGAGTATGTGCCGAACGAATGTCCGGCATGCGGAGAGACCCCACATGACTCGAACCATCTCTTCGCATGCCCGGAAAACCCGACAACCCTAACGGCCTTGTCCCTGTGGACAGATCCCACAGAAGCTGCACGCTTCCTAGGGTTGCCGTTAGTGGAACTTGACGACAACGACTGAGATACCAACCGATCTGGGCGGGGTTGTTGTAGCCGCTACAACAACAACAACAACAGGATGTGCCCAACCAATGCCCGGCATGTGGAGAGTCGCCACATGACTCCCGGCACCTCTTCACATGCCCTGCGAACCCCACTCAGCTAACGCCCCTGTCCCTGTGGACAGCCCCTTTGGAAGTAGCACACTTCCTGGGCCTCCCCCTAGCTGAAATAGACGACAACGTTGATGGATGAACCGCCCCGAACGGGGCTTAATAGCCGCTACAACAACAACTGATATACATATTTATGTATGTCTAGGGATGTTTCGAATGTCATATTTTTCACGAGAATGCGAACGCGACTTTTCGGAATGTGAACGTGCGAATGCGAATGCGATTGTTAGGGACAAATGAATGTGTTCTTCACTGCCGGAAAACTCAACGTCTCTGCCGTGAACTCCTTTGCTGCACTTTTAACCACACGGAATTAAGAGATCAGGCTTGAGCTCGACGCCATCAACCCCAAAAAATCTTGAGAGTCGCGTTAAACAGACTCTCCACTTCTAGCGTACTTTTCCGCAACATATAAAAGAAATCGTGGAGAGTAACTCGTTATAATTTGGGAGGCTTACGTAACTCCTAACCTAGATTCCAAGCACGCCCAGCCTTATACGTAAAAGTTGCGTGCACTGCAGCTAGTCGATACCCACTGTCCGGCATGCGTGGACTCGAAAGACGTCGAGGCTAGTCACCAGGTGGTAACATGGCTGAAGGTCATATTTTTGGACTGTTTGAGGCTGACCTATGTGCCAATACTGTGAAGAGAAGCGATAGTTGTCTTTGCACCCAAAGCAGGCAAGAGCAACGTAGTTTTCTCAAAGCAATACAGTCCCATAAGTTTGGCCTCTTCCTCCGAAAAAAGGTTGGAAACAATTCTTGCCACCCACATCAAGGAAGCTCCGTCCGTATTTTCAGAATAATTCCGAACAGTGTACATACTAATTGTACCTTTTCAACACTTTTATACTTTAAAAGTACAGTTTTTCTCAAATTAAGTAGATACAATTTGAATATCGCTACCCCAGAGTGAAAAGTTGGTAAGTCCACTTTTTATGAAAACTCATGTTTTGATATAGGAAGCAAGGGACTTTAAAAATGCATCGTACCTATTTTTTTTATTTTCGGTTATATTTAATGAAAAAAAAATTTGCTAAGTGCAAACGAAGCACCGAAAATCGGATAAGGCCAAAATAGTACGAAGTCTTTGGATAAAGATCAAATTCCTCTTGATTCATATGGAGTTTTGTTTTTCTTTGAACAGGCAAAATGTTGTATTCAAAGTTTTGCGAAATACTTGAAGAAAATGGCTATAAGAAGTTTGTTTTTCATCTCCTGTAAAATTTTTTAAAATGGGACTTAGCAACTTTTGACTCTAAGCTAGAGCGATATTAAATTTCCCATCCCTGATTCAGAACACTTTCATAGAATTAAAAAGTTTCGTGCATTTATCGAAGTTATACTCATTTTTGGGGAACAAAAAACCAACATTTTCAAAAACAGATTTGTTTTTGATAACACCACTCGGAGATGAGTTAGGTTCGTGGTATATAGAAAGAATATAGAATTCTCCCAGTATCGTCGTTGCTTCTACATATTTCTTTGGCGTTTGTTAATTTGTGATTTCTATCTTAAAATCAAATTTTCTATATGTACTATAATAAAACTGTAGATTGTTTGTCTGTTTGAACTCACTAATTTCCGGAACTGCCGAATGGATTTTCATGGGGCTTTATATAGAGACTGACCTCGTAAGTAACCTAGGGTATGAAAAAATTAGATGTGACAAGGAGCGTGGCAGCTCCCATACGCGTGACATTTTTAATCAGCTACAACTTCTTAACATTAATTGAAATTCCGCTCTGCAGGGTATAATATACTTTTGCAAAACAATGGTGCCGACAGATGGCGCCGGAGTCGAGATATTTAGAGAACCCCTCTTTATCGTCGGACCTGCATTGATGGGTATTTACTTTATGATAAAAAGTGATTCTGCAAAAAAAAAATGGACTCAAAACATAGATGGCGCTGAAATCACGATATTTAATAACCCCTTCACAAATTTTCATTTTAGATGACTTAAACCACAAAATTGTTTAAGCTCCACAGATATCCTAACGGGTCATCGTATATCAAGAAGAAGTTTGCTGAGTTAGAGAGAACACGGTAGGTTTCATCCTGTGGAACAGCAGGATTATTACATTATTATATTATATTATAGAAGAACATTACGCACGCTCGGAAAAAATTTGCAATAATTGCAGATATTTCACAGGTGGAAAGAAGAGCTCTTAGCAAGGTTCTGCTCTTCAGTCTTTTCAGCCTTAACTAATAATTTTTACTTTGCAAACCGTTTTTGCATAGCAACACTTTTTTTTTTTGTATTGGTCAACGCAAAAGTTCTTATAAGGCATCGCGAAGCAAGCCAGGCATTTGTTAGTAGCTAATAAAATTAAACATCCCAACCCCCTCGTAGTAAAATCCTACATACGCCATTGAACCTAACCTAATCTATGCTAAATTCAAATTTAGTACAATACATAAAATACCAACAACAAACGGTGTAAGTACTTACGTGCTTGAAGTCAGTCAAGAAAAATCACACACGCTTTTTATGCAATTTTAATATTACTTTTATTTTATATATTTTTTTTAAGTATTTTTATTGTTAAATTTATTGCATGCACAAAAATGTTAATCGTTTTAGTTGTTTTTTTTTTTGGTCTTGCTCTTGTTTTTATACATATTCTAATATATATTTATTTATACCTAAATGTAGTTAGTTTAATGTGTATGTATGTATGCTTTCCATTTAATTTCTTTCTTTCTACAATCTTTGAGTTTTTATATTATTTTTTTTTTTTTTATTTTAACTACTATTTCTTAATATCAGTTACTTTATTTATTCTATAAATATTTTATTAAATATTTAATTTTTTGTAAGTAGTAATTTTTTGTCTGTTATCTGTTGTCTAACAATTTGCATGCACTGTTTCGCTAGAATGTCTTGCATCTAACGCCATAACTTTTAACTAAAAACTATAGCATAATTCTACATACATACATACATGTGAAGAATAAACTGTATTTCAATGTTCAATGTTCAGCATTTTGATGAAAAATGTTATGGCAAAACAAAATGCGTTAAAGACCACGAAAAAAAAATGCATCTTACTTATTACTGTGGCACGATCAGCTGATCAACAAGGGTCTAATATGTTTTCCAAAATTATTATATTATTTAAATTTTTCGGAAAAGATTAGTAAAATGCCAGACCGCTTTAGAGTCGCTCCGAAATTCCAGCTGTGGTATTTCGCATTTTATCGATTATTTTTGTACATAAATAGTTTAGTCATTTATTATTAAATTTTATTATTACAACATACTTAGATGCTTAGAGTATTTTACAGCACTTCTGTAAATCCTTACGAAGCGCAATAAATTGCTGGCACTATAGAAAAGTCGCCTCTGTTCAATAGAAAAGAAATAAAAATCAATATAGTTATGAAAATATATTTTTCAGACAGACGTGTTCTTTATGGAAGTTTTTATTTGCAAATTTCTTCTTGTGTGTTTCTAAAATTCCTTTTTTGCGTTCAACAATAATAAACATACATATTAGGGTGGTCCTTAAAAATATCAACCTAACAATTTTGTATAGAGACCGCGCCCCTTTATTTCATTCTACATACCAAATAAAGACATCCACGAAAATTTCAAAATTTTAAACAAACGTTTGGGAGTAGCTGCCAGGGTTAAAAAAAATTTAAACTTTTTTATGTAGTGGAAATTCGACAAAACCTTGAATTGCAAATAAATGGTTAACATATTATTGAAACATATTCATATAAATTCATAAGCTCATGATTTTGTCGAAGTTTTGCGATTTTCAAAAAAGAAAAATTACATTTTTAAAACCTGGTAGCGACCTCTATATTTTTTAATTAGGAAATTTTCGTTGTTTTGTATGTACAATAAAATAAAGCGGTGGCACCCTAAAATGTATGTATGTAAAGTTTTTATATGACGCACAATAACGTTAATTTGGCATTAAAATATGTGCTTACAGTAAAGCCCGCTTAAGTGCAACCGACGAAAAAAAATATAAGGAGGTAAGGAAGTGCCTATATACGGCATGAATGAAACTAAAATTCCATTTTGTTTTTGCAAAATTTACACAATTGGTAGGAAAAATAACTTTTGTGTTGTGCTTTTCTCTACTTTTCTCGATTAATGGCCAAAGTTTTCAAACACACACATTTCACAAGTGTTAGATATTTCAATAATCTCATCTTTAAATCGCTGTGGCCTCTAATGTGCATCCTGATGAGTCTTGCCGGGATTTTCCGTAACTATTAAAAGCGCTCTCAAAATCCTTCTTGAGTCAAGTGAATTTTTCTGGTTGATTTTTATTCAGAACTTTTATTTTATCATATAAACGAATTTGTGCCAAAGAAAAAATGTTGTAATTATAAAAATGGTCCTGGTCTCGTTTTAAAGGTGGTATTAGGGTTATATTTTTCAAATATTAAAAAAAAAATCCAAAATTATAAAATTTACAGAATTTAAATATGTTTTGGCAGCATTTTTTTTTGTATAAAATGCCTCCAAATGATCTTTAAAGATCTTGAAATTTAAAAGAAAGTGTTTTTTTCAAAGATATTATTAAAAAATTTGTTTTGGAGTTCACAAAAACATTTTATTTTCAAAATTTCTATAATTTTTAGTTTTAGATTTTTTAAATAAAAAATTTTGTAAGTCTTTTATTTTCCGATTATTTTTTAAATATACTTTTAAAAAGAGACCATAATAGTTTTTAAGATATTCGAAAAATAATTTAATTTTGAAATTTGTTTTTTTAGCAAACTCTAAATTAAGTTTTGTTAACCAACTTTTATTTAACTTAAATTTATTCCTAATTTACATTTTGCAAACAAAAATTTCAAAGTTCAAAAATTCTTTAAAAACAATTTCTTGAAAGTTTTATAATCTTTTAAGATCAGTTAAACGTATTGTAACATTGCAAATTTTTAAATGTTTTCGTTTTAGGTTTTTCATAATTCAATATATTATTTTTTTTTTTACTTTTAGATTTTTTTTTAATATACTTTTAAAACGAAGCCATACTAGTTTTTAAGATATTCCAAAAATAATTACTAGAAGGTTGTTTTTTTATAAAAGATAAATTTATGAACTTAAATTGTTTTCCAAGCTCTGAATTAAGTTATGCTAAGTAATTTTTATTTAATTTCAACTTATTTTTAATTTAGATTTTGCCAAAACATCTTTTTTCTAAGTTCAACAATTAAAAAAAAGTTAAATAACATTTTGCCAAAAATTTGTTAAGCTTTTGTTTTTAAGATGTTTTTGTCGAGTCGTTCCAAACGTGGATTCTTCTGACCTGATATTATTTGTCTTCTCGAGGAAGTGTGTTTTACAGGTAGATAGCCCACTTGTATGAAGAGTTGACGTCAGACAGGGTGGTTCTCTTCCGCGCAAGCTCGTTTTATTTCTCTGTCACCAGGCACCTACACAATGTGGGTAGTAGTACTTTGGAACCAACTTCTTGAGGACTTTTCTACATTCTATAGCTATTTTTGACGAGGTTTCACAGCAATCCAGTGACTTAGTAGTTGCTTGGCTATTGGAGTATCTGGTTAATGAAGGCAGATTAAAGGAATATTCGATGAGCCAAAGTACAGCCTATTTTATGGCCCTGAGCTCTGCTTGGAAGACACTGAAATGGTCTGACCGCGGAAGGCAGAGGTTTAGTGAGAGGTATTTCAGGTATAACCCACTCAATATGCTTAGCCCGTCCGTATAGGCGGCTGTTAAGTTATCTTGGAGACTCCAGACCAAATCGTTCTCTCAGTCCTTGTGGACTTGTGTGGAGAACTTGGTCTCAAAATCGAGAGGCGCTATTGTGTAGTCTGGAGACCTAAAAGTATCGCAGTAGTTAGTTCGAATGTTGTTATGACCGAACCTAGTATCTTTCCATTTTGACAGTGCCAGGTCAATGTTCTGTACAAAATGACGCCCAAGTATTTCACTTCATTTACGCCATTTGTGTTGGAAGCACAATTTTTGAGCAGTGACTCTGCGTAAGCTTCTGGAAGGCTCCTTCTATATCTAGAAAAAAGTCTAATGTTAGTTTCTTGGAAGCCGATATCAGAAACGACTTTGTGGACAGATTTGCCCTTTGAATAGAAGTGCTGGCAGTCAGATAGCTCACTTGAGTTCATCTTTCGCTAAATCAATGTATCCAATAATCCATTCATGGATTTTTAGAAAGAAAGAAGAAAATGGTTAGGCTTCACATGAGAGGCTCTGGTTCCCTTAGGTATGAAAATGACTTCGGCATTGAAGTGACAAAAAATATCGCGTTGAAATAATTTTTGTGGCCAACTTTAAAAAACCAAAAAATTTTGGTCATTTAATGCATAGTGGAAATCAAGCATAAAGTATCTTTTTGGTCTTTGCTGGAATTCCTAAAAGAGATTAAACATCTTATTAGAGAAATCTTTACTTGTATTCAATACTCGATTTGCCATTGGGTTGTTTGCAATTAAGCAGAGCCCACTGTAATAACATTTCCGCAAGTACTTATATAAAAGATGTTGCCAATTAGCTGATTAGTATGTATTAGAATAAATATTAAGCATATTTTTTAAGACAAAATTAAATTTTTAGTCCTCTATTAGAGTGCTAAGATTTATTTACATTGATTTTCCTTTACACTAGTATTTGTATTAGATTTAACATTAACTGTAACACGTTTAATGGCTTAAATATTTGCGTAAGGAATCAATATTTTGGTTATAACACGAGTACACTAACAAAAAAAATCAGTCACATTCAGAATATTATTTTTTATGTTTTAATCAAAATTCAAAATAAATGCTTAATTGTTGATTGCATGAAAACATGGCAATAAATAACATTGACACTGGCAAAATTAGTTGATTGCTTAGTATAATTAGTACAATTATAATACTGTTATTAAATATATATATCTTCTTTTATATAACTAACATTTACGTTGGGTATAATTTGACAGCGTCAACAACACCCATTTATTTCAGCTTATGGCGAGACTCTCAGTGCTGCCATTCTTTTGTTACCCATTAAATCTCGGCGCTGCCGCGCAAATAGCTACCACTTGTGCTGCGGCCACTACGCGTCGTATCAGCGCCGACGCCATGTCCTCTACTATTGCCACTGGTCTGTTTATAGCGCGGTGCTGCTTCACCGCCGTCTACTGCCGCCTCTATTGTTTGCTGCTTTTTCGGTGTTGCAGGCGCTGCGTACTTACGACTAGCTGCGCGCTGATAACGGCGCGCTTGCACTGCCAAATCGTCGAGCAGCAACTCGTTTGTCGACTTAGTGCGCCGCTGTGAGAGGTGTGGTCGCGGTGCGCCATTTACAGCATTTACGCCACCGCTGGCGCTGTTCGATTGTACTCGCACGTTGATGGG